CTTGAGCCACAGGCACCGAGCCTGAGTTTTCATATTCTTTGTGAACTTACACTGTCATGATGTGGGCATCATTAGTCAACAAATAAAATGTACTCCAGACTGATTTGTATAATAAGTTCTTCTAACACATTTTCAGTGCAAAGGAGAGATTATATCTTAAAAACCCAGATGTGACAAAGAGGAAGCAACACTTGACTAAGGGGAGGTTGGTCCTCAAGCCTTGTGTCACTTCATCCTTGCTCTGATCCTCCTCCCACCAACCAGCTGGCTGGAGCCAACTCTGGAACACCGTAGTGGGACTATCATGTGCACGTTCCAGGTGGCTGTTAATTTGAGCCTCACAGGATCCTGAGAGGCACATTATGTTACTATCTCTGCCCTACAGCCAGGACAGAGAGCCAGGGAGCAGAGCATCTGACCAGGGCCATGTGGTGAGGCCACCATGGCACTCCAGGCCCCTTCTTGGCTAGCCATGAGGCTGCTTGTTGGTGCCAGGAGCAGCGGGAATTTCCTTTTCTCCTCACATTTCTCCCACCTTAACCTCCCTTCATCTATTGTATTTACTGCAAATTCCTTTCCTAGTCTTTTAGGTTCTTCCATATCTAAAAAGCCTTGTGTAAAAGATGACATAATTATATATAAGCTCATGGTAGAAAATATTATCAGCATTATAGAATATAAAATTAAATGTCTCTGCCCCACCCCCTCCAATAATTCCCATTTTCTAGACCTATCAGACAGTACATATAGGGAAAGAAAAACTGTTATTCCATTGGACAGCCAGGGATATTTGTCCCTATTTATGAGAAAAGGTCTTGCTCTATTGTTCAGGCTGGTCTTAAATTTCTGACCTCAAGTGATCTTCCTGTCTAGGCATCCCAAAGAGATGGGATTACAGGTGTGATCCACTGTACCTAGCCCTTTTTATCATCTTATCTCAATTTTTGTTTGGGACAAGAGTCTCACACTCTGTCCCCCTGGGTAGAGTGCCGTAGCATCATAGCTCACAGCAACCTCAAACTCTTGGGCTCCAGCGATCCTCCTCAGTCTCCCACCTGTCACCATGCCCAGCTAGTTTCTCTGTTTTTGTTGTTGTTTTTATTAGAGACAGGGGATCACTCTTGCTCACAGTGCTCTTGAATGCCTGAACTCAAACAATCCACCCGCCTCAGCCTCCCAGAGTGTTAGGACTGCAGGTGTGAGCCATTGTGCCCGGCCCCTCTTTATTATCTTATGAACATTTAAAATGTATTCAGATTTTTTGTGTTTTCATACTACTTGTATAAAAAATTCTTCTCAGGGTACAAACGTGTGGGGCTACTTTTTTCCTCAAAACGTAAAAGGGACTTAAACCAAAACTACTCATGCTCAGAATATTCTAGATTTCCACTGGAAATGCTAAATCTCCTTTCCAATCTCTATTTAAGGTGTTGTCTATCAAATTAGTTGCCTGTGCTCTTTCCGCTCCTTGCAGGGATTCCTGGATTAGCCATTATCTGGCTTATTTCCAGAGTGTACTATCAGCTCACCTCAATCTTCACTATAGCTCTCCAGGTGGAACAGATAACTAGCCTCTGGCCAGGGCCCCATCAGAGCCCCTGGCTGCTCCTGAAGGCATCAGTGTGCCAGGCTCTGTGTGGATTGGGAAGGGCCTTCTGGAGCTCTGGACAGGCTCAGGCTACTTCCTTCTTCCCCAATCTCTCCTTGCAGTAAAGGGCAGGGGACCCATTGTGAGTGGACGCCCTGCAGACATGCACTGTGGCCACAGGAGTCCTCCCAGCCACATGTGCTGGGCTGGGAACAGCAAGACAGAAAGGGAGAAGGCAGCAGCAACTGGGTAGACTTGGTGACTTAAGATGGGGAGGCAAGACCACCCTCCTCCCGCTGTGCCTGCATGAGCCAACACCACATCCTGTGCCGGGCAGGCTGGGCTGAGAACCGGAGGGCACACTACCTCACAGGGCAGCTGCAAGGCAGGGCTCCTAGAGAAATGGGCCAACTCTGCTGCCACCGGTGAGGGAACTGGCCCCAGGCGTGACAGGGCCTGTGGGGAGGAGAGTCCCCTGGAAACACCTGGAATTGTGGCTCCTCCACCTCCCACTGAAACGTTCTCCTGCCTCTCCCTATACACAAACAGGAAACTTCAAAGCAGGCCAATCAAATGCCCACGTATACTAACGTTGTCACTGAAGGCCTTTCCACTGGGAGGTTCAGGATAGTTTCTGAAAACTCCTGCTCCTCTTGGGCTCCAGCTCCAGGCCCAGGGGTATCGTACCCCGCCACTTACTCCATCTGCTTCCCCAAATTGTGCTACCTTCCACTAGGCAGAAGATGTGTCCAGTAGGGGACATGGGCACCAAATGGCATAAAGCACTTCCTTCTTTCCCCTCCACCCATACATCGTCAGGAAGAAATGGGAGAAAGACTGGGAGGGAGCTTTTGGGGTTTCCAAGGGAAGGCAGGTGAAAGGCTCTGGGCTGCCTTGGGCTCCTCTTATGGAGAGGTGGAGACTGCATGCCCTCTGCAGGCTGCTCATGAGTGCCAACCCTGCGGTGGCCTGCTGCCACTACTCTGCAGCAGTGTGGCTTCCCTTTTGGGGAAACTACTCTCCAAGTCTGTTTTTTCCATCTGCAAAAAATGAGGCATGTAAGAGTTGGTAAGAGGATCAATAATAATTGTTAGATGGATATAAACATTTGATTACAACAGCCAAACTGACCTACAAGGGCAATTTAAAGGACATGATGACAGGGTACCTCATGAGTAACCTGGGGAAAATGACACTTATGCAAGAAACATGTTCTTTCAGAAGCTGTCCAGCCATAGCACATGTGGTTCCAGAAAGCCCTAAATTCCAGCCTCGCCCCACACAAACACAAATTCTTCTTCTTCACCTCCTCCCACAATAAAAGACTGGCGAGGAGCTGCAGAGTGACCACCCACAACGGCTGCCAGTGCTAGCATGTGCCAGGTGCTTTTCAAGGAATTTCACATTCACTAACTAACTTACTTCTCAGCCCAACTCTGACAGATAGGAAGAGGTAAGCTGCCTGAGGACACAGCTATACGTGGTGGAGCTGCAGTGTGAGAGCGAGGCCACTACACTACACTCCAAATTCAGCTGCAGAAACCTCAAAGGGGGACTAGAACACAGTTTTTAATAAACAAGTTCAAGCCACATTTCCTAATGATAGAGGCAAACTGTCCAAAAGCAGGACAGTCCCAGGGGAGGGGACACTGCATGGAACCCAGGAGAGCCCACCCAGCATACTGAGTGTGTGGAGACCTCAGCCAAGGGGAGGGGCAGCTGAGCTCATGGCCCTCCTGGTACCCAGCAATTAATCACCACTCTAGCGTCTGCTACCCCAGATCCACTCCGGGAGATGCCCGCCAGAGCTTTAAAAGAGGACACTTGGACAACAAAAACGATACAGCATATTAAAAACTATAGCTAAGAGGGATTCTATGAAAAGGGAAAATCCTATGGACTAATTCCATGCACAGGGCACCAGACAGTCTCACTCAGGACCACATACGTCAGGGGCGCTATGGGGCTGGGCCCCTGCCTGTGGCTGTGTCTCTGCGCAGCCCTCACTGCCCTGCTCTGCACTGGCTCACACTGGCGGCGGGATCTTGGCCCCCACTGCTTCCTCCTGTGTAGCCGATCACTGAATTTCCACTGATCCTTCAGCAGTTTGGCTCCGCCTCGTGGCAGATGGTGTGATTCTCAGGGGTGACTGTAGTGCTTTTCCTATTTGCAGCGCCTTTCTAACTGGACTGTTTCTGATGTGGTTTCCTCTGATTCTGGTGAAGAAAGTACCATTTTGGCTCCTCCCTCAAAGGAAGTATTCTCACAGGCTCTGATACATGAGGAGGAGACTCTGGTGGAGGGAAGGCAGCAGGGCTGAGTCTGAGCAACACACACCCTCAAGTGCACGCAGGGGGCAGCTACAGCAGATCCATACAGTAGAAACAGCCAGAGAACCAGCAAATGCACTAATTATTCTTCTATTTATGCTTGTAGGGTCAGTAACTTCCAGATTACGGCTTGAATGCAGGTGTCTACCCATGAACATGTGAACTAGTTCATTTCTACTTTATGATATACACAATGTGAAATTAATAAATACTCACAGAAACATAAAGCATTTGTTTATTATTGCTATAATCAAGGCAAAATCTCTTAAAACAATGAGCCTTGATAATGGAAGTATAATCAGAACCATTACTCATGAATTTACAGTTTGTTCTTCTCTGCCATCAAGACTTTACTGTGTCACACACACCATCTACCCCAAGACCTTTCTTATACAAGAGCAAGAAGAATGAACTTGGAAGTCACAAAGCATGGCCTGGCCACTTGCCTAAGTCCTGACTTCAGACCAGTCACTTAAACCCTCTCTGAACCTGTTTTATCCTATGTAAATAAAAAGTGGGAGCAGGAGAGGAGAGGAGAGGAGAGGACAGAATAAACCTACGACTAAGGTAACAAGGTGCTGACTGAGAGAACGTGAATAAAACTGCATTGTACACTCAAAAATTATACACAAGACAGCATCACAAACAACAGGGAGAGGCAGGAACCATCACTGTGTTCAGTGATGTGTCCGGGAGCCCGACGGTCACTGAGAATCTAGGCCTGGGGCAGGACAGAGGACACGAAGGACCAGGCCTCTGAACTCACTGAGGAAGGATCTGGTTGACAACCCACTTCGTATGGATCCAACCCTAGAAACACTTGGTCAGTTTTATTTTACCTTAATATGCATTTGTACAGATAATAATAAAAAGGCTATTACATAACAATTGAGAGAGTTTTATCGAGTTTCAAGAATAATGCGTGCAGTTACAAACAAGAGGTAGAAACACTGTTATTAAAGACTAAAAATATAAACATCATGTAAATAAATGTTCAAATTAACCGCTGGAATTTCATACAGATAAATAAGGTAAAAATTACATTACTTTGTCAAAGGAAAACCATGTTTGTGTCTGCTTATTTTTATCAGTACACTAAAATGAGATTAGTGCCAAAGAGCTTCTGTGTAATTTGTTGGAGAGTTTAGATTACTTTATGTGAAAGGATTAAAATAAAAAGATTAAAAGTGGCAAAAGGTTTATTCAAGTATTCAAGCAGGTAAGTAAAAGAAACCCAGAAATATACATACAACACAGGAACCGCTCCCTGGAGGGGGCCGGGTCACTCCCCGCATCCTGCATGACTAGCCGTTTGGTAAACTGTCAGGATTAACATGAGACTCACACATCACGCTGGAGAGAGCTGCCCATTTTCCTAACAGAAAACAAAACTTATTCTTCACTAACTTTGTGTAGAAACTCCACATTATTAACAAGCTTTTAGATCACCAACTTTGTTTTGGCCCTATTAAAATTCTCAAGAGTGCCTCTTGATTCATGATACTTTTTTCTAATACTGCCCAAATAAACCTAAGGTCACAGGCACCAATGCACAGTCTGCATGCACAATAAAAAAAATGCAACCCAAAGTGACAACCAGCGACTCCAAATATTACTGAGAAATCTGTGGGTGTAGATGAATAGGTAAAAAGTAATGCAAAGGTTCACATGAACACAAGTTTCTGACCATTTAAAAGTTCACTCCAGATTATACATGAATTCTGGAAAGGATATATGTATATAATCAAGTAAAATATTTTAAACAAGTCCATTGTGCCTCAGTTAGTTTTAAATTGCAAAATCCAATATACAGTTGTTTAATAAATTAGTGCAATATGAAAGATTTTATGGAAGATTAATATGTGTCCGTATTAGATCAAATTGAAGGCTTCACAGTCTCTTCCAGGAGCCGTCTGTTGCTGCTTCTTCAGCTATTTCTTCCTGAGCTTTTGAAGACGTGTGCTCAGATTTAGACAAAACATCAAACTGCCTGATGAGATATGGACTTTTTTACTTTCATACTTCAGCAAACACATGAAACTTCACACATTGCTCTGGTGAACTGAGTGAAGAGCCACTCACTTTGTTGCATTTTTAATTATTCTCAAGAATAACGGTACTGATAATTCTAGTTCTAAGGTACATTTATTTACCAAATTCAGATTGGGAGCCAAGTAGAACACTCTTCCGCTTCTACAAAGAAAAAGGGAAGGGGTGACTTCTCCAATAAGGCAGATCCTATAAAGATGTAGTTTTTGGATTGTTTTTCTGTTTGAAATCACTGCTCGTTCTTTGGTAGTCACCAGTTAAGAAACTACAGCTTCCTGGGTATGGGTGACTGAGCCCCGCTGTCATCCCAAATGCATCCCTTACGCTCCTCCCGCCAGTCCACAGGGCAAGCCTGCTGCTGCTCACATGGGTGCCGGGCTGTAGCAGAGTGCTGACAGTCTTCTTTCAATACTAGATTTATCTAGTAAGAAAACAACAAAAATTAAGAACTCATGGAAAGAAATCACATTCTATCTGCAGTGTCATCTCTTTTCTATCTTTGCTCCAAATTTAACAGTTCTGAGAAATGTTTTCTTCTCTCTGCCTGGTACTAGCTCAGATATGATTCCTCGATTGGTGCTGCACAGTGGTAAGACTTAGGTAAACACATCATAGAGAGTAGTCAGGGTTGTTTTTTTTTTTTT